TCAAATGTTTAAAATAAATAAATAAAAAAAAATCTGAAGAAAATTAACGAATAATAATAAACCACTCGCCTGTAGTTTTACAAATGAAAATGCGATTAATCGAACAACAAAAACATCAGCCATTTTCAAATTTTTTCAAAGGACTGCCGAATAGTACTTACAATAGTACTATTGTAAGTACTATTCGGTACACAATATAAGTAAACATGCGTAAGTATGGTATTAAGGAAGTTTAAAAGTTTATCAACATGTTGTTCATTTAAACTAAACACGACAAATAAAAATTTAAAATTCAATTAATTTTTTCATTAGAAATTTTTTTGTTTAAAAAAAATCCCGGCCATAATAACAATTTCGCGATCCTATTTTATCCCACTTAATCAAAATGAATAACTCTTAACGATCATTATTATTAATAGCATTGAAAATAAAAAGCGAAACCGCTGTAAGGCAATTTTCTTTAAACAAATTAATTATTTTATTTTCATTTTTCTTATTGCTTTCTTTTTTCTAATTTGTTTTTTTTTTGTTATTTTTTATGTCACTTTAAAATTTTATTTCGCTAAAGTACATAACAATAGAAATTAATCGCCTAAAACAATTATAAACGTAATATATCGCGTCTCATTGTTTGGGTATGACAAACCATAGTAAACACACACATTCAACACAAAGTTTATCATTTATTAAAAATTTAACAACAAAAGTAAAAAAAGAATGATGTGGTCAGCACATACCCGAACACGTTATGTATACATACATAAATATTATATTTTCTGAAAGATTATTTTAAAATATTCGAATAAATTTTCTATTCTACTAACTCCATTCGAATAATTCAATCATTCAAATGACTGAGTTGTTGTATAACATCGAGAAAACATTAATAATTCAAGAAAATTGACAAGCTTTGTATAAAAATTATCTTTCTGCATTCCTCTTTCGAATTGTCAAAATTTCGAAGCAACCATTAGTACATCTTTTTTGCCTGCCAAAAAAACAAGCGAAAAAGTGGAATTGACAATACGATGTTTATTTTTCAAAAGGCCAAATTTCTCTAGATTACTGCTAAAAATTTTTTGCTTCATTCTTTTAACAATCATTGACAATATAAAAAATTTCGAAATATTTGTGTAATACATAAGAAGTCTAATCTCAATCTCTATGATCGATTAGATTGTTTGGACATATTTTACCCAAAATTCGATTACTTCACCGCATCTCTAAAATGAACTTTAGAGATGAACAAAAGTGGCATCTCACGAAAAATTATTTCTGAATATGATTTAGTAGATAATTAAAAATCAATTTTTCCTTTGAAAACTTGACATATAAACTATAACAATACCTTCCCTTATGCGTACAATACAGTCGACAAAAAAAGAAAGACGTGAGGAACAGGAAAATTACAACCAATAAACGAAAATAAGGATATTTTACATAAGAACAATTTCAATATGTTTAGAGAATTTTCATTGTTTTTCTTTCCTTTAAAAAAATTCATTTCGTATAATAAGTCTTTAAATGATGAAAAACATTATTTAAAGTGTTATTTGACAGGATATGGAGGCCACAATTTTTATTCTTTGTAAGTATGTGTATGCAGAGGAATGTGAATAAAAAATAAATTCTCTTTCTTTGGCACACAGAACAGAAGAACAAAAACACAACAAAAATAAATAAAGCAAAATGAGTAAGAATAAAAATAACACAATCATATAACAAACAAAAGGAAAAAAGGTCCTTAAAGGTTCTTAAGTGTTTTACAGTATAAAAATAATAAAAACAAGAAGAAGAAGAGAAGAACAAATAATTTTATGGTGATACAGTAACCTGCAGCATTTTCAAGTCGTAAAACATTTTGTTTTTTTTTTTTTTGTTTCGTTGTCTTTTATTGTTTCGCACAAGGAATTGAGAGGATTATAAAAATTAATAAAAATGTTAAGTATGACGGTAATTTGAATTTTTTTTCTCTAGTTTTTTTTGTTCGTTTATGTGTAATATAACAAAAAAAATTACAATAACAAAATATGGAGAAAAAAAAAGTTTAATGATGTTTGTTGGCTAAAACAAGAGAAAAAAAGGATAAAGGAATTAAAAAATAAAATGTTTTTTTATATTAAAAAATTTTATTTTTGTATTATGTAAGTATATATATATATATAAACTCTGATCCCTGCACTCCTGCTACAGCAAAATAAGTGTTGTATTAGCGGAGCTCATTACAATCTCTACGAAAAAATTTGATTAAAATGTGCTTGCAAGTAATTTTTAATTTTAGAGAAAACATAAGTATTAAAATTTTAGTAGCTGTTTAAAGAACAAGCCCTTACAACACAATTTATTACTGTGAAATAGTTTGATAGTCTCAGTACAGCCACCTTAGATAGTGTCATTATAAACAATTTTGATTAAGCTTTTGACATTCTTATCTTATTTACTTGAATAAAATATTTTTTAATGACTCTTTATGATTAATGAATGAATACGTATGTCGGATTATAGGAGTATATTATGTAAAGGGCAAACAATTTCTAATAAGAAAATATTGAAAATTATTTGATTAAATACGACAAGTCGTGTGTTCAATAAGATTACTTTAATAAGGGTTTAATAAAATTACTTTTCAAGTTGACTTTTATTAGAAAGGGTTTTGAAACTTAAATACCAATAAGCATTTCTAATTATCTTTCACACACAAACAAATTAAGATTGAAAATCTCTTAAATAATGTACAGGTATGCATACCTTGTTTTTTTGCCTTATCTCCAAAGCTAAAAAAATTTTTCATATTTGATCCACATAGCAATATATAAAATCACGCACTAACTTAGCACAATGAGTTTGTATATATATACTCAATACCTAGGAAAATATCTATTTTATGTACTGATTTTTATATACAAAATTTTAATACATAAAAAATCAATTCAATCAAACAATATTTCTATTGTATTTATGTGAACACACACTACACATAACTGAAATATTGTGTCTTGAGATCTTTATAGTACAAATCATACAATATAATATTAGAGTGCGTCATTGAATTGTTGAATATTTTATTTGAAAATATCTTTGAATAATTTATTTTTAGTTACCAGACAATTTAAAAGCGTATGTTCGTCTTCGTGATTTTTACCGGAAAATCATTTATTATGATTTTATTGATTGACTATAAAGCGATTTATTTATATAGAATTTTTTGAGAAAAAAATATTTTTAAAGAATATTGTTCTGTTCTTATTGCTTTCTATACAATACATATTATACATACTATGGAAATCGGGTTTTTGTTTTCAGCCATATGAAAGTATAGAGCAATATATTAGTAAACAATATTCTCGTCTTATATCTCATTATATAATTATATACTTTATAATATATATATAATAGAATAAATTTTAGAAACATTATTTTACCATGAAGTAATAAGTTGATGATGGGTGCATGAAGCTAAAATTTTTGAAATTTTGGTTTCTTTGAAACCGTTTTACTCATTTCGATTTGGTAAGTCAAATAAATATTAATGTATGAAATTCACCAAAATTGCAGTTTTATCAAAATTTAAAAAAATAACTCCACAATTCTCATAGGAAAACGCACTTCGTAAAGTAATGAAATAATTTTGTAAATTTTTTTTGGAACACCACACCCCCCGAGAATTTTTCTAAAAATTTTCATTGTGTTTTGCCTTAAAGGCATCGCCAAATTCGGTTAGAGTCGGAAAAAAGCGACACGATCGATTATTGTCTTTAACGCAGCTATATTTGTACAATTTTTCAATAGATAACAAGAGCATTCCTAACAGATTCCTCAACCCCTTAGTTTATAATAATATCCCAATTATTTAAAGAACTCCCTTTATTTAAAGAATTATAAAAAAGTGTTTTTTTTTTCGACATTCAAGTGTAAATTTCATTCTTGTTAACTTCCTTACATAATTACTCGTAAAATTGACCCTTCCTCACATTATTTTATAAATATTGATAAGAGTACAAGAATGTTTACCTGAACAATTTTAAAGTTTCGAAACTTTTATTTTTACTCTTTAATTAGTCATGTATTTATTCATACACCTTTTTTAAATCAGTTACAGAATTTGTAAAAGTAAAATATCAACTGATAATTTATTCATAAAAGTTAAAGAAAAAAAAAGTTTATTAAAATCAAATTTAAAATTTATAAAATAAAATATTTTAAAAATATTTTTGATTTCCCTCATATAATAAGTTTTATAAAATTTTTTATAGAACTAAAATAAAGGATTAATTTTAGAGTTTAAGAATGCAAAAATAACAACACCTTGTTAATTGAGTTGTTCTTATAAATTTCAAACTTTTTAAAAGGGTTTTCTTTACAGGATTTTCTACATAAGTATTGGAGTTGGGATTCCTTACACGTGTACTAAAATACAAATATAACTATAAAGTATCGACAACAAAGTGTAGGTTATTTATGTTTATTATCAATTTCCTATTAGAACAAATATGTTTCAATCAAATCAGGAAATCGGAAAGTTATTCAGTTTATTCCAAAATTTTTTCCAAAATTCGAGTATTTTGAAGAGTTTTCGCAAAATCTATTTTAAACAAATTTATCATCAGATTTCATTAATTCCCGTGATCAGTCTGAATAATGTATGATCAAACTGAATAATGCATACTTATAACTAAAATTGTATTGCTTTGTGAAAATGTACGCAAATGAACGGAAATTTAAAATTACATATTAAATTTATAAAATCATTTAAGCAATTTAAATGTACACCGTAATGGGGTACAGGAGAAATTCACAAGGTTAGCATCGTTTCTACAAATTTTTCAACATCAATATCATGTCTTACATCTTTGCGTCTTTCCATTTTCTTAGGTATGTAAATATTTAGATAACAAGCAAGTAAAGACCAAAGTATTTCGAAATAACAACTTAATAAATTTTGCATTTTAGATTTTAATATTATATTGAATTTTATCAAAAAAAATTATCAAATAACTTACCTATTAAAAATAAAAGTACAAGTTTTAGGATATGCCAAGATATTTTAATTTTATCCATAATTCGATAATTCTTTACTCTAATCCGGTCTGCTTTTTGTTCCTTTTGTCTCGTTATTTTTCCACTTTTGTCCTTTTTTTTCTTTGTTATTTTATCCTTTTTTTTTGTAATTTATGAATGCGTGTGTGTCTGTTTTTTGATATGTTTTCGGAATTATTCCTTTATTAAATTTCTTTATTACTTTTTCTTTTAATTTTTGTTTTCTTTGATTTACTTGTCTATTTTGGTTAAATTTTTTCCCGATTTAAAAAATTTCCCAATACTTTTATTTTGTAGTTTTTATTTAGAATTTTTTTTTTTGGTTAAAATTTTTATTTGATTTTTACAATTCGTTTCAAATTTTTTTTTCTTTTATTTTCCATTTTCTTTATTTTTTATTTAACATACAAAAGCGATTTATATTGAATATTTCTTTTTCTTTTTTCTTTATATCATCCTTTAAAGGATTCATGTATGTAGGTACATTTTTTTTTTTCGTCTCTTAATTTCTTGTACGGATTCTTTTATATTTCTTATTTTCGGAATATCCGATTTCTGTTTGATTTAATAAAAAAAGGAATCAAGAGAAAAAATCGAGGATAAAATCAAAAATAAAGAAAAAGAAATAAGAATAAAATTGAAATAAAAATTGTAAGACTAAAGTAAATGTGAAAGGGAAAAAGTAGAAAAGGAAAGGTACTTTAACCTTTTTTTTTTGATATGTTTTGTGTATTTGTGTTTTTAAATTTTATTTTTTATTTTACTTGTTTCTTAAGATTTTTTAAGTCAGCTTTAAAGGAATCACAAAATAATCCTTTCGTCTGTCCTTTTGAACTCGCAATGCACAGTATTTTTATTGTATAGTTTTTTTTTTGTGTTTCGCATATATTCGTGTAGGTATTAACTTTTAGGCTTTCTGTAATTTTATTGTATACATTTATGTAGCATACAATTAGACCTTATAATTCTGTGTAATATCGTGTTTATATTATAATTATGATATTTTTTTCGATATGAATTTTAGCGAACATAAAATGGTATTGGTTTCTGTTTTTTCGATACCAAATTTTTCTTTTTTTTGGGTTTTATGTTCTTTTTTTCTCTAGAATATTTTCAAAAGAAAATTTTATGTGTTATGCATACACCTATAAGCTTTTCTTTTATGTATGTATGCATATATTTTTATATAGTAGGTGTATGTTTATTTCAGTAATAAAAGGGTATTTTTTTTTTGGGAAATTTTCAAAATAAATTTATTTGCTTATAATTTAAATTTTTTTATAATATTCAATATGTATGAATGGATATGCACAGGATTATATAATTACTGAAAAAAAAAATATTTCAATTTCTATTACACTAAAATTTTTATTAATTTTATATTGAATTAAGAGTTTTCTATAATATTTTCACTATATAAAAGTTAAGTATTTCATTCAACAACACTAAGTATTTGCGGGTATATTGTTACCATATATCCATAAGCTTCATGTTAAAAATGCAGATTCATCAATAATTTGTCCTCTTTAATCATTCATACACTAAAAATATGATTTTACAATTTCTTTAAAATTATATAATAAAAAAAATATTATATGTGCTTTATTTTTGATTATTTTTCAAAATTTCAGATATGTTATTTAGAGACATTTTATGTCTGTTTAATTATTTTAATTTTAATTGCATATTATACAACCGGATTGCGAATTAAACAATTATTTTTTATAAATATGTTTCTAAAATTGAATATCATTAATAAAAAGTTTAAAATTTTTTTATTATTTTGAAAATAAAAATTTTTAAAATTCTCCATTTTTGTTCTTTTTTCCTCTTTCTCTTATTTTACACTACTTTTTTATTAAGTTTCTATATTTTTGACTTCCATTTGAATATTAAACCTATAGAAAATATAAAATAATAATTGTAAATTTAAGAATAATTTTTTTTATTATTACAAAAAATATTTTAATATTTTGTTAATTATATACCAAAAATTAAACTTATTTCTTTAAATTTCTCATATCCTTAAAATCATATAAAGACTGTAAATAAATCAAATGATTTTTATTCCCTATATTAGCCAGTTTTGTTATTTAGCCAAAAAAGGCTACTATAAAGAACAAAACTTATGTTATTTACAATTCCAGTTTTTCAAATTTCAACAGAATTTTTGTGAAATTTCTTTTATTAAGACCGGCTAGTATAGGTATTCAATATACAAAGAGTATATAATTATGTGCAGTTCGATTTCGTTTATTACCACACAAAATTTTGAGCAATATACCAAATATTTTTTCTTACTTGAATTGAGTGCATTGGGAAAACCTTCAGTTGACTTTTTGCAGAGAGATTTAATATAAAGTATAATTTTAATAATGAACTGATCAGAGTTTGAACCCAAAGCCCTTCTTTTAAAGGAATGGTTCCATAACCACTGCACCACTGGTCTAATTGTATACTAAATATAGTGCAGTTTAAATGTATATCGAATTTCAATATTTTCATATTTTTAAAATTAAAATTTTAGTTCTTGATTTTCTATTATTTTAAGCACTTTTCCAAAAAATTTTTAAAAAAAAGTGCTTATTAATTTCACTCTGTCCGACCGTCCATCCGTCAGATCTTCCATTCGACTGTCCGTTTGTTCGTCCGCCCATCCGTAGGTGCGCCCGTCCGTGTATCTCTTTATAAAACTTCTAAACCTTTGGAAATAGAAAGCCGGAATTTCATACGCACATAGATCTCTAAAAATTCTTTTCTAAATATCCGTAAAAAAAAATTTTTACCTAACTCCCCCCTCTAAAAGTTATACCCCCTCAAAAAACTTAAAAAACATGCCAAGGCTTCTTTTTTTGCGGCATATCATTTTTAAACTTTAAAACAACAAAATGGTCGTTAAATTTTTTACTATCTAAAATCAGTTTTTTGCAAATTTTTGATACTGTGTTTCTTCTAGACCGCAGTTAGTAGGAGCCTGAAATTCTAAATTTATGCAATGTTTGAAAAACATTCGCATATGATTATAAATAATTTTAATAATGAGTGCACAGCTAGACTGTTTTCAAAAGCACTATTCTCATTTGCTAAAGATAAAAGTGCTGCATTACAAACCATTTGTTTGACTCAACTTTTTAATTTAATATTAATTATGACTACGATTAGGATCTCATGACTTAATGTATAAGGAGAGCAGAGAAACCGCTCCACTAAAATTAAAATTATAAAATGCCAAGAAGCTACAGATTAATGCTGTTTGCTTTTGAATTACAGCTGATTTGTGCAGCTGATCGGAAAATTCGTGCTTTCTATTCAAATTTTCTAAATCATATATCCAATCTTTTGAGATTTTCAAAGAACCATTAAGTGAAATTAAGTGTATATATAGTACAGCTATATCAGACAAATATATTTAAAACTTTAATAAATAAAGTGGTAGATTGTCTCCATTTATTTTTTGTATAATTTATTACGAATGAACACATATAACATATACATATAACAGTCTACACATAATATTGATATTAACATCATTTAATATAATTATTATAGGTTGGCTAGAAAGAACACGTGTATTGTGCGGTTGTATGTTAACATATAAACGTGCGATTGAAAATATAAAATTTAGGTTATAATTTTTGTTTATATGTACACATAAGTTTAAAAATAGAAAAAGAGTTTGAGAGAAACTATGCAGGTATGTTCACCACTTGAATATGGCCAAAAATTTATTTATAAATTTTTGGTCATGTGGTTAATATTATGGAATATCAAATTGTACAAGTAACAACTGACGTGAAATACACTAAAAGTACTTAACTGTAGTTATTTTTCGGTGTTTGTTTGGTTTTTATCTTCTTAAGGATTTCTACTTTGTGTACCAACTAAGTGGGTTTATTTAGGTTTAGGTTTATTTGATAAACACTTATATGATGCGTATAATAATATAATGTGATACATATTTATACACGAGTACCTTTTTTCTTCACCTCTTTTCTTAACCTCAAATATATTTAGCTTTGTACATAATTTCTTTTTTGGCAAAATGCTCTCTCCAACTCTTTATAAATATTTTTCGTAAAATTATTTTACATTTTTAGCACTTTTCCAAAAAATTTTTGAAAAAAAGTGCTTATTAGTTTCACTCTGTCCGTCCGTCCGTCCGTCCGTCCGTCCGTCTGTCCGTGTGTCTGTTTACAAAACTTCTACATTCTTAAAGATAGAAAGCTGAAATTTAATACGTACATAGATCTTTACTAGAAACTTATTTTCGTAGAACAAAATTTTTACCTATCTCCCCCCCTCTAGAAGTTATACCCCCCCAAAGCACTAAAAATGGCCTATTTTAACTATTTGTTGCAATGAAACCATAAGCATTTTTGAAATTTTGCAAACGCAGAAAGGCAGTGGGTTGCTTCGCCTACCGCGGTGTACTATAGTTAAACTTTAGAAAAACAAAATGGCCGTTCAAATTTAAAGTTATCTAAAGTCCTTTTTTTCCAAATTTTTGATGTCGTTTTTCTTCTAGACCCCAGCCTGTAGAAGCTTGAAATTTTAGGGGCTTTTAGAAATTAATAAGTAGTTCATTTCGTTAGAAGAAAATTTTTTTCCATCTCCACCCCCTCTCAAGTTATGACTTCTTGAAATTTGTAAAATTTTTAGAAATTAATAAGTAGTTCATTTCGTTAGAAGAAAATTTTTTTCCATCTCCACCCCCTCTCAAGTTATGACTTCTTGAAATTTGTAAAATTTGCATTTTTGACACCTTATATTTCTGAAACCGCAAGTTTTTTCAAAATTTCTATAAACGCAAAAAGTTAACGGTAAATTCCATGACATTAAAAAATATAATTATTTTTCTTAACTCACACAATTAACCCTTAAAATCGAGCATTATGTTAACTCCTTTTTATATTAAATTTTGCTTTATTTCAAAGACTGCATAAATGGTTCATCCTGAACATATGCAATTCTACGTAGAACGAGTTTCGTATATGAATGAAAATAAATTTAGTAGTGTGGTGGATATACATAGACTGTTTTTAAAAGCAGAATTTTCACTTGTTGAAGGGAAAAGTGCTACAATACAAACCATTGGTTTGACCCAACTTTATTTTTTGAAAATTTGAACAAATTCCTTAAATATAAGACTTAACTATATAAAAAATATCTATATAATAATTTCTGGAATTGGAACTAAAAAAAGAAACATTTTTGTATATAAAAGCCGACGAATGAAATAAGCAGCAGCATATTTTGAGAAAAAAAAACAATTTTACAAATGATTAATGGCAAATGTATAGAAATTTAGTAAACGTATAGATACACCCACCCATGCACGTTCAGAGATACGATGCTATTTCTAAACCACGCTGAATCCGGGCGATATTTTTTTTATATAGTTGACATTATATCAAATATACATATATATGTTATATATATACATACATATATATCAATATCAGATTTATATTATAAGAGTACTTATTATAAGAGTTCTCAAACCGAAATTGGACTGACGACTCATCCACTTTCAAAAATTAATTTAACAATAAAATGTCTACCTCAGAAAGAAAAGGAGCAGACTTTAAATTAATATTCACAGTAAACTGAGTCAACTTAAAATAAGCTGAGTCAACTGTTAATTTTATCGAAAATTATATTTAAAAAGTATACAATTAAATTTTGAATTTTATAAGAATTTGGAAAGAGAAAGAATAGGTGAAGGAAACGAAAAAAAAATAATTTTCTGTTTTGTTTCTTATTTCTCTTACTCTCTTACATGTATGCCTTTTTGAATTTTCTTTACCTTTTTAAAATACATATAGGGCAGGCTGGGTTGGCTATAATAGGAGAGAAGCGAGAAATTGATTTGTTTTGTACACGTTAATGCAAATGTTATTAAATTTTTCTTTGTTCTTTTCGTTTTTCTTGTTTTTATTATTTTTATTATAATGTTTCCTTGAAAAATTTTCCTTTTCCTTTTTATTTTATTTTTTGTTCTTTGTTCTATATTTTGTTCCTTTGTTTTATTTTAGTCATTGTTTTAATATCGCGTAGCATTGAAATTATTTTACATATATTTTATTTGTCTTTAATATCGATTTATTTAATTTAAAGTCTAATCGAATAAAAAATTTAAATATATGAGTAATGCTATACGCCTATACCACAGTTAAAATTTTGCCTGATTCTTAAAAAAAATATACGAGTATTGAATAACGTAACGAAAACAAAAACAAACGTCTTTAGCGTTGTTATTAAAAACAAAAATTATACTAGATCTATTATTAAGAAATCGTCCCCGCACATAGAAACTAACTTTCATGATTACGTTTAAATTTTTTTGTTGAGTGTATTAATAAATGACTGTTCTAATAATTTTATTAGCAGAAATTAGCAACATTTCTGAGAAAGAGAAAAATTATAAAAATAAATTCTTGCAAAATAAAACGTTCAATAACGTGTGCCCACACCCAAACTCTCAAAATTTCAGACTTCTACTGCTCTACCGCCGAATAAAAAATAATGCAAATTTAAAAAAAATTTTTCAATGTCAGAGTTTATTCAGACGTCTATTTTGCCATAACTAGTTTTTTTTTTCAATGTGCGAAGCAAAAGGTTATTTCTTGTGCCGAAGTGCGAAGTAAAAGAGTATGTATTGCATTTTTAAGAAATTGATGGTTTTGAACTTTTAAGAAAATAGTGCGTTATATTTCCCTTTTCTTTAAAATTGCATTTCTCTTTCTTTAAGTTTATTGATGGGCGGACAAATTTAACGAGTAAAAATATTTTAATCAAATCAAAGCTAAATCTTTATTGATAAGCAAAAGTTCTAAAATTAAAGCCAGTCGTGGACGCTGTTTAAATTTACTAACCTATTTAACCCTAAACTTGAAAA